GGAGAGGCTACAGTGCACTGAGTGATACCAGATACGTTTCTAAGCAAGTGCTCCTCCGCTTTTCACACCTTTCAGACAGAAGTCCCTGACAAAGTGCTCCATGTGGAAAGATTTGGGTGCTGTACCTCTATAAAGAACACAAGGCAGTGAAAACCAAGGATGTGGCAGGATGTGGCATAGGAGGTGAAGCGTAGATTCCCTAAGAGTTCTGAGCACAACCAAAGTGTTCTGACACTGGCTAGCACACAGCAGAAACAAACACAAGTGAGGGCAGTAAGCCTATCTTTGGCTTTTTCTCATTTAATTTCAGATTAATCACTAAGCATTTGCATACAAGCTTGGAAACAGAAGCAAAGCTCTAGTTCATTAACAGCTAAGCAGAGTTAATGCTGCATAAGCAAATACCATGCAGCTGAGCGAGACAGAGAATGGAAACAGCTTTTGGCTGCTACCTCAGGTTTCTCGTGCGCACCAAGAGACAAGGAGACAGAGCAGTTCAAGGATCATTTTAAGCGGTGCAAGCTGATAATCATCTCTAAAGGCCCGTAACATCTCAGTGTGCTCCAGCAATCCAGAACAATACTTTGTAATCCCAACATGAATGACGCCAAAACAAGGACAGTGGAGCAGCTCGTGCCAGCTCTGTGTCATCTGAGAGCAGTGTGGGCTCTAGTATGCCTGTGAGGCCACGGACCTGCCTCCTGCTGTGGCTTGGGTTCTTTTCAACTCCTCGCAAGAACAGGGTGTTCTGGGAGAGCTCTAACGCTAAAATGAAGTTTCTTGGAGTGGGGGCAATGGGGGCAGCTGGAAGGATCACACATTAAAATGGCACTTTTCTACTCCTCTGCAGATTACGTTTAAAGTCTTAAGTCAAAGACAGGCAAAATATTAAGTCTGATTTTTCTGCTGGTCAGTTTGGTGAATTCAGCTGAGTTTGGAGCAGATGCAGAATAATCCTCACAACTAAAAGTATGTGATTAATTGAACAAGTTGACATATGGTTTATGCAGAGAACTGATTTAACAGACTTCCAGAGCTGGAACCACCTTTTCACTTTAGACTTAGTTCTTCAGAACAGCCTTAGGAAAACCCGAACACTGTCCACACTCGCTGCTTCTTACGCCAAGCGGCTGCTTGGAACTGTGCTGAGGCACTACTCATCTGGCAGCTTGCATTGGCAATAACTGAGAAAAAACACGTCTCACTGTGTAGTCATGATCGAGTTTATGTGCTGTATCAGCACTGCTCGTCTCACTCCCTTGGTGGATACAAGAGATTTTGTGTAATGCAAATATGACCTCTTCTACTACTATTTAAGCCTGTTATTACATACAGCAGTTGTAAATAGTGCTGACCTGGTTACAGCCTTGTTCTCATGTAATAATAATAATATTAATCCCATGAACTGGTATGGAAGTTCCGCAGCATCTTGTCTGTATGACTGGATTCAAGATTGTGGTCAGCTATGTACAAGCAGTTTCTAATGCACTGACTGGCACAGATGTAAATAGATTTTGTTTTTAATAAAGCAGTATCATACAAAGGTAAAATAAACCTTCACGTTAGAAAATTAGCTTCTGCACTGCGGGCATCCTACAGAAATAAGCGATTACCTCATTTATTAATGACCTGTGAGAAACAAACTCCATATGTATGTTGTTTCTTAGCTACTGTTCTTGAAAGTGGCTCAATCTGTAAACTGAGCACAGTAAATACCTAATTAAATTAAATCTCCAACAAGCCTGAGAAAAATGTATTGAAAGCACTCTGCTTGATTACTGACATTGGTCTAAAGTATCAGACCTATTGATCTGGTCAACCTCAAGCTTATTCACTTCACCCAATTTAATTTGAGAAGAACAATAACTAAATTTTAGTTGGATCTCCTTTGCCGCTCTCCAGGGAAATAATCTGAAGTGGCTCTGAGTTCAGGTGGCACACAGAAAATATTTAACAGGTCAAAGAAAACATTTATTTTGTTGCAAGTATGGGCACAAAGTTACAAGAAAAATGCAAATATGGTTTCCAGTGCAACAATTACGTAGTGTTTCTGACAGGGTCATAAGCCATGAACAAACATCTCTGGTGGGGGCAATAAACCAATTGCTCTGCAAGTTCAGGATGATATTAAAAATCATATTTCAACAAAGTCCTCTGTAGGTGCAAATTAAATGAAAACAACTGAAAAAACCACCTGCCAGGAGTACCAGAATATAGAAGCTACTTCATTTTGTTCCGCTCTGTGCCAGTCCAGCATTAACCCATCATCCACTGAGCAAGACATCCATCTAATCTTCCCAAGAAGAATTTCCTTAATTAAAGAAGAATGAACATTTAAACTGGCTTGCTGTACACGAAAGACAGCTCACAGTCTTTACAAAGGAATTCAAGATTTACCCGCTCCATGGTCAGTGGTCTGAACACAATTCAGTTCAGTAATGTCCCACTGCTGCTGTGACTGACAACTGCTCAAGCCACTTACATGAAACAACTTGATGACCTCAATTTTGTTTCCACCAGAGATGCTTCCACAACAGAGAGACATCAGTAACACATGCAGCACCCTTGCTAACAGTTCCAATAGACATGCCAGCAATTACTAGATCAGCATGATTAGCAAACTATCCTTTCAGTCCCAGGCCCTGCCTATACCAAGGAAACCATGAAAAACATTCAGTAACACAGCCAGTACTTGTGTGGCTCCACAAATGCTTGGTTCACTGGGGATACCAACGTAGGCTGACCGAGTCAAGCAGTATGCACACACAGAGAAATAAATGGCATTTTCCTCATCATCTAATTCAACCCTCTGCTACTGCTGGCAGCCAGACAAAACATAACAGTTCTATGCAGAGATACTAAGGCTAGCTTTAGAATTAATGCAGCTGTATTAACTGGGCCAATTAGAAGTACATTTTTTTGCTTTCCTTTAGATACGATCCTAATGTAACAATCTTGGTTTTAACAGGTATCCTTGCATAGTCATACTTCTCATTACACAAACATAACTTCAATATTTTAAAGCTCCATTTTCAAAGTAGTTAGTCAGCAGTCTTACTCCTTACTATTTCTTCAGAATCACAATTCTCTTGTCTGCTAGGCACCTCATAATCTAATTTCTGGCCTAATATAGCCACGAGTGGTTTATATTTATCTGTTCTTGTTCCAGTTTTGTCCCTACGTTTGAACAGCCATTAGGTCCCATTCTTACTCTTGCTCCAGTACTTGTAAAGAGAAATCAGATTCAGATTTTGCTTTGCCAAGTTGAACAGGACAATGTCATTAAGTCACTTCTCCAAGTAAGTCTCCCATTTTTCTGACCATCTTGTACACCTTTTTTTGACAATTTGAACTGAACCTTTTCAAGCATAAGAGATAAGAACTATGTATAACATTCCAGATCAGATTTCACCACTCTTTATACAGTCTCTCCAATCCCTACTGGAAATAACTTATCTGGTACATTGTAGGATTGAATTTGCCACCATGCATCAACAGCTCAGCTGAGCTGATCCCTGAGAGTACAAACACCAATCCTTTCTCCTTTTCTGCTTTTTAACTGCGGAGCTCCTGGCTGTCAGCATAAATTCTTGTTACCAATATCTTAAGCACCTTAAATTGCATTCCATACCTGTCAAAATTTAACCCTTTTTCTATTAATTCTGTCCTCAAGGCCATCTATTATTTTCTTGTCTGATATCCCAATATCGATCTGTATCATATGTAGTGTCATTATCTGCATTCGTGTAAGCAACTATCACCAGCACATGCTTCTATTCTCTGTCGCCTTCCTCCGCCTCAATCCTGCAATAACTCACCAGGTGCATAAATGCTGCTTCTGTAGTTCACAGGGTAGTACTGCCTCTGTTTAAAAACAAGTGTCACTATAAAACCAGTCCAAAAACTTCAGGACTGAAAATGACTTACACTTACGGTATATAATAAAGCTAAATTTTACAAAGGAAAATTTGTAGTGGTCTTGTTTTATATGAAACAGGAAAATTTGTGGTGGTCTTGTTTTATATGATAGCAGATTACTGTTCCTCCCTCCTCACACATAGCTTTCAGTGTTATGAGGGGCTACAGAATTTTGCAAAGGTAATTTGTGGCTTGATGTATGAAGATTGGAAGTCTCGCACAACGCAGCTCCATGCTAAAATGATACAGTCACTACAGAACAATGTTGTTTTAGAAACACAATATCTACTCAAAAGGTCAATCTGCTGCTAGTAGGTGAAGAGCAACTCTTCCAACAATTTTACCAAGATACACCGGTCTAAACTGTCGCTCAAATTCAACACGAACTTGAAACTGCCTGTTTTAAAACCAAAATTATTTCATATCTAGCCAGAACTCTGCAGATTTAACAGGGACAAAGTTTACAAATTTTAAAAGTAACAGAGATTGAGGTCACGTTCTCTTGGATCTTTCATCTTTGTTGGGAACAAATTTCCAGGTTTCTTTTTTTACTTTGGACTCTACACAAAGCACAAGGCCTTTATCTGACCTTGCAGCATCATAAAATGCAGACAGGGAAGTAGGACATGGCTGGGACTACTCATTGTTCAGTTCTAAGAATTATTACCCACTGACAGGAGTCCTGCTCTGTTTCTTTCTCCTAATCACAAATTGAATTCCCACCAAAAACAAAGAAATATTTGTTGTTTAAAGGAAAAAAAATGCCCCACAGGAAGATTCACTAAATGAACATCTGCTTTCTCTACAGGCAAGTTACACACGCTTCCTTGGAGATGAGTATCAGGTTTTCTGTTAAGACACGATCTCTAACATCAGGTTGTTGCACACCGTGGCTATTCATCACACACTCTTTTTCAATTATGTTCAGGTTTGTCCTAGTTCTGTAAATTGTACAGCTCAGCTTTAAAAACAAGAAGCCCTACAGCTAGTACAGGAAGCGACATTAAAGAGAAGCTTGTTCTGGTGGCAAAATTATGCAGGCTAGGGGGAATAAAAAGCCATCATCTATGCAGCAGCCTTACCCTTCTACGCAGTCTGTCCCTTTCTTCACGAATGGCATTCATGGTGGCCTTGGTCCTGTTCAGCTCCTCCTCTTTGCTACACAGCATGGCCGTGAGGCTCTCATTCTCTTCCCGCAAGCCAGCTAGCTCCTTTTCCCATCGAGATCTCTCTTCAGATAGGTTTGGATAAAGGTCACGTCCCAGTACACCCTCAATCTCTTCTACAGTCTGCAAAAATACAGTCATCAAAAACCAGAAAGAAGCAGAGAAAGATGATTGAACAAGATTAATGGTACACAGGAGAGAAATGTGTAACAGGCAACTATATATACACTTATCTGTACACTTCCAGCCCCACAACACCATTAGTGTGCTTCTTTTGTTCGATAAGTAATATCAAACAAAATTATTTCTTATTTTGTTTGATAGTTTGACCATTTTATTAAAATATTTCATACTGACCAACACCAAAGCAGATGGATGTTTTACACACAAACAAAACATGTCACCCGTGAGTGACAGCAATCCCACTAGTTTCATCTCAGAACACTTTAAAACAAATTAATGACTCCTTGTCCTGGGTGAGCGCTGCGCTGATTGTTTTCCTGCCTGAGCAATACGCAGAAAGTAGCAGCCTGTGAATGTGCATGGCATGAGGCCTTTCTTAATTCTAGACCAACTCCACAAAAAGCTAAGGAAAAGAGTGGGACAGTAAAACCAGAGGACTCTCCTCTCCCACTTCCCTGAGCATGTTCTTTCCTAGAGGGGGCAAAGAGATAAAAGAAAGATAATAAGCCTTGGTTAGGGTTACTTTATACCAGAAGGTGTTACAGCCTTTCTAGTGCCTAAAAAAGACTGGTTTTCTCTGGGACATGTAATACCACTCAGCATTCCCCACCCCATCCCCTTGCTCAGAACTGTGCCTCATAGGCACCGTTCAGCATGAAGGATATTCAGCAACTTCCAGTGGGCGAAACTAAACCACACGCACACACCACGAGCAAGGGAATACTGCTGTGCCCAAGCTTACCGTCAGACTGGTCATTCAACATGTTGTAACACAGCATAATGCCCAACGTGTCAGGTAATTATGTGCAGTTCTGATTCTACTACACAGAGTCTGCTGTGCCCGTGTTAAATTTTTTCACTTATGGAAGACCTTTGCAACAAGCAAAAACCCTTCAATCATTGCTCATAAGCTTTTGAATCTCTCTGAAAGCAGTCTGCACTGAAATGGTAGGAAGAAACACGGAAAATAAGTGAATACAAGATGTAACTGGCAGCATAGCAAGTTTCATTTCACTGGATAACCCAAGAACAAGTATAGCTAAGCCTATACTCTGAAGTTTAATATGGAATATAAATAACTCATGTAGCAAGGTTAAAAATAGTCTACTTGTTTTATTCAAAAGGACTAATTTTTTATATAAAACAGAAATTGCTAACTGAAGTTTATGTCCTTAATTTGGGAGGGACTAAAAGAACCAACCAGAATACAGCTGAAAATGACAAATCAAGCTGAAAATACAACTCTGCTTTTCTTCTGCAAGAAATCTTTCCATTTTTTGCAGCACTGTCTGACACTGAGGTATCAGTGAAATTTCATTATTTGTCCATTATAATGAAAAGTTGGTTATTTATTGTTACCAGTACATTAATCTTAAAGAATAAATCGTGGCTACAGCAGGACTCCTTAGTGAGGAGGAAAAGACACTCCTACAAAATGAAAAAATCCTTTTTTAACAACTAGTTCAAAATGTCTATGGAAGAAGCAGGAACAAAAATTTTGCAGTCAGGTTCAGTTTATCCTTTTAAATCATATTTCAAGTCTCTCTTCCATAAAACTGCAATATGTTTAGAGTCATAAATATAAAACTCCATTGACAGGGTGTTTACACTATAATTCTGCTTACATATTTGGCAGTAAGCTTAAATTACTTTTCCGAAAGAGCAGTGCCTTGCGTCATTTCTGTAAGATGAAAGCAGCCACAGCTCTCCCTTGCGTTAATTTCACTTGGACCTATAGGTCTCAAACTATGACAAGGTAAGTTATTTCAACACAACAGGAGGATGAGTTCAAGTTCTGAATAAGCACAGGGCGGTTAATCTCACAGAAAACCTCTGTAATGTCAGGAGCATTCTCTCCTGATGACACCAGCTTTGTTTTGAACAGTGCTTCTTCACTGCTGTCTTCTGCTCTTCCTTCTTCTCCCCAGACTCCTCTCCTCTTTCAGGCGTTTCCCCTGCTGTTTCCTCACCCCTCTAATGCCAAGTTCTGCTGCTGCCTCCATGCTCCTAGTTTTTCCCAGCCCTCCCTTTCCCAAGACAGAAAAGGAAAAGATTCCTCCTCAGAGCACTCCTGGGGGTGATAAGCCTGGAGCAACACTGCAAGAGGAAGGACTGTCACAAGGAAGCAGCAGCAGTGGCTCAACTCCACTCTCTGCAGACAGAGAGGCTGCTGCTGTTTCTCCAGGCTCCATTGCTACCATCTGCCCACACAAGCACAAAGTTCAGGCAGTGACAGCAGCAGCATGGGTCTGACAGTCATACTAAGGGCTGCGCTATAGTCCTTAACAAAGTCGAGGGACATCTCTGCTTGCTTCTACGCTCCTTCATTTTGATGTGATCAATATCCTTTTTCTGACTAAACTATTACATAGTTCTCTGGTCTGACCACCAAAATGCTACCAGCCTTCATCATAAATAAAACAGAAATATGGTCCATGGCTATATCTACATAAACTACCAGCTTGTTTATTTTTCTTGAAAGCAGAATTACAGAGCAGTTTTATCTGGCATGCTGCTGCACAGCAGATAAATTCAGGTATAATTTCACGGATTATAGGATCGAATTACAGTGTAATGTTCTGAGCACAGGGCAGGATGTTATATCGTGGTAATTCCAGTCTTCTCAGACACTGCATTCGTTACAGACATGATATCAGATGCAATCAGCAAGCATCAGGTTTAAAACAAGCGAAAAGAAGTACTTTTTCACGAGGCATAACTCAACAGTAGAATTTATTCCTACCACAATTTATAGAGTTTTTAGATGGGTTAAAAGCCACATTAGATACAAACATAGAAGAAAATTCCACCCATGACGACTAAACACAAAGACATCACCTCCAGCTTAATAAGTTCCTAAACCGACCTAGCTAGGAGCATGTTTGAAGGAAGGAGAGGCAGGACAGAATCACAGAATCACAGAATCACAGAATGGTAGGGGTTGGAAGGGACCTCTATGGGTCATCTAGCCCAACCCTCGTGCCGAAGAAGAGTCACCTACATAGGCTGCACAGGACCGCG